TGTGACATCCATGCTCTGACTTCTGCCATACTTTCCAGGAGTTTGTTCGTGGAGTATTATCTTGTTTTAATGAAACATAAATTTGATTGTCATCAGCATAAAAATGAAAAGTAACACCATGTTTCCAAATAATATATCCCAGAGGGAGTAAATAAAGGGAAAACAGAAGGGGGCCAAGTATAGATCCCTGAGGGGCTCCACATGTAAGAGGTGCTACAGAGGACTCAACAGCACCAATATGCACACAAAAGCTTTGCTCTGTTAAATAGGATCTAAACCACTGTAGAGCAGGACCCTGAACGCCCCCCCAGTTCTCCAGGCGAGACAGGAGGATCTGATTGTTCACTGTGTCAAAGGCAGCAGTTAGGTCCAACAGCATCAAACTACACAGTGACCAGAGTCTGTGCCTGCAAGAGAACGCTGTTAAAAACACGACATTTTATACCACAGTGATAAACAAAATACGAAAATGAGAGCAGTAACAGTCATTTGTTATAACAATAAGTTAATTAAGTTGTTTTAGCTTAAAATAAACTTGTCAAACATTGTGAGAAGCAACACTAGTAAAAACTCACTTTGCTCACTTTGATTTCTTTAAGAGGTTTCAAACATCTAATACGGTCATTAGAAAAATCTAAGCAAATATGTTTTTAGCATTTTACCTACTTTATATGGCACTTTGATATTATTGTTGTTATAACACTATTTTTTATTGCTTTTATTCTTGTATATTGTTGTCTGTATTACATTTGCTTTCTGTATAAAACACGTCTTTCTTGAAAATTGGTCTTCGTGACTCAATTAGACTTTAAGGTTAAATACAGTAAAAATAATAAATACAGTACATAAATTGTCAAATCTACGGGTACAGCAGTGGGACAAAATCCGTACGAGCTCTCGATTTGAGTGGGAAATCTTTTAACCAATGATAAAAAGGTGACGCGTTTAATCCCGCCCACCACTGCTCGCTCATTGGTCCGAGCGAGCTGTCAATCAGGAGCGTGACTAAACAAACGTCTGTCATGTGACTGATGTTTTCCCTGAGTCGTTTCCTCATTCACGGAGTGTTTTCGCCGTGTCATGTGAACGCTGGAAATAAAAACAACCAACCCGTCGGGATTTAAAAATCTCCCAAACCTCCGGAAATCTCCACCGAGGCTGTCGGAGGACTCCATCATCCACGCGGCCGCACCAGAGGCTCCTCCGGCGGGCTGTTTGACTGGACCAGGTCCCGGCGGCGGTCAGCCATGGCGGACGAGGAGCGGTCACTGCTTCTGTCCGATCAGCACGACGGGACCAACGGCTTCTCTCCCGGCGGGTATCCACGGAGTATGTCCCTCATTTCTTTACCGACAAGAGCCGAGCTGATACAAATACCGATTATTAAACTATCGATCTTTTGTTTAGCGTCCTCCGCGTCGCTGTGAACAAGCTTTAGCCGCCCTGTCAGGTCTGTTTACACTGAAGTTAAGACACTTGGAGAAGATTTAACGCGTTTAAATTCACTTTAAACGAGTTTTGATGTCTCTGCCTGTGTCTTATGGAACATTTTAAAGCAGATCCAGGAGAATTACGTGATGTAAAACATATATTTGATGTAAAAACATGTAGGTTTACGTCAGTTTGCATGAGTTTCGGTCCAAAAAACACGTTTCCAGATTTTTCATTGACTGAAATTTAAGAAAAAGGAGAGATTAAAATATTTCTAATCAAAACTATTCTATGCATCAAAACATCAAGTATTTCAGTTAATGAGATGCAGCTGATTTAATGTTTTTTTTTTAGGGATTTGTGCAAAAGTATTCAATTAAATATTAATTTTAGGCCTTTAAATCACTTGATGACCTCTTGTAATAATTTCTTCTTACTTTACAGTTGTAGCTAAATTCAAACAGAATGACACCGATGATAAAATGTGCTTTTAAACACCTCAGTTCCTCCTTTTTAGGCGTTTCGTTTCGTTTACTGCTGTGGTGCATTCAGAAAGTGTTTTGTGATACTTGTGGAACTTCCTGTGCCACGGTTTGGTTTTTGCTGTGTCATTAACCCTCGTGATGACCGTGGTCCTCGAGGGCCACCGTCCTGCATGTTTTACATGTTTCTCTGCGTCGACACGCCTGATTTTACTGAACGGCTTGTGCAGAACCTGAAGACCTGCTCGAGAGCAGGAAACTGTTTCAGCAGCGTTTTCCTAAATGAGCGGAGAGCCTTTAGGACTGAACGGGATCCGTCTGATGGCCCAACACAATATTGATTGGGTTCGTGATTTATTGCTCTGCTTTGAACTCACAGAACAGGTACAAGTCCCTCGGTTATCGCGGGGGGTTCGTTACACACGAAGGATGGATAGTGAGGGGGCGATCAGCGTGTCTCTTTAAGAAAAATGGCATGACATGGGCTGTCTTTCCTTCCTTTATTTGGTTCTCAAAATGGCGGACGCGTAAACAAGTTCTCAGCTTCTTTTTGCAGAGGAAAAACAACTTTTTACACGAAGGCACGGGTTTCAATCGTGAATTTTTGGAGCTTCGACAAGACGGAGGTTTTTCCTGAGGTCGGCCTGTTAGCTTAGCTCGTAGCTTAGCTGCTTTTAACGATCCAAAAACGTGACTTTGGATGATTAAAATGGATAAAGAGAAAGGGAGGGGTCAGTGAAGAACCGGAGTTGAGTCTTTTTTTCATCCAGTGTCTTCAGTAGAAAGTGAGAGATGAAGAAACGATAAAGCTGATAAATGAAAATGAGGTCGATAATTTTCATTCATCGTGCGATTAATTGATTTCTTGTTTATCGCGACGGGCCTGTGTACTGTCCAGTACTGCAGAATTGCACTCAGCAGCTCTGCAGACCAGCAGCTCGGTTCCAGTTGCGCAGGGACGAAGCCCTCCGCCCCGTCCAGGTTGATGTGCACGTGGATAATTGAGCTTCAGGATTATTTGTGACTTTCCTGCCAGTTCTGAGCTTCGTAGATCGATCCTTACTTCTGACTTTGCGTTGCAAAACTTTCCGCTTCAGCAAAAAGCAGCGGCTGGAAGCGCTGTTGGCTTCTGGGTAGTGTAGTTCTTTTGACTGGTGTTAGAGTATAGGCTTACTGAAAGAAAACTACAAAATGGCGGCGCCTGTCTGAAGTTTTATTTTCTCTTTCTCTCGTTAACTTTTTATCCCGTACTGTCCCAATCACGAGTAATATTAAAGTTGACAATCACTGAAAAACCAACGATTGTGCACATTTGTATAAAAAGAAGCCTTAGCTTTTCCTCTCCATCGTTCCTCCTTGCAGGTATAGCACCGCTGCCCAGTTTCGTGGATCCTGGAGAACCTCCACCTCCGTACTCGCCTCAGGGCAGCCCGGACAGCGGCAGCGCTCCGGTCATCAGCTGCAGAGTCTGTCAGAGCATCATATCTGTGGAGGGCAAGACGCATCAGCACGTGGTGAAGTGTAACCTCTGCAACGAAGCTACGGTGAGTCCCACGGAGGCTGCTTTTATCATCTGGTTTAACGTCTCGGACGTGGAGGCAGAGTTTTGACCTTTTCTCTCGTTTATTTGAGCAGAATTTCCTCCGAGATCGAAACTAACCCACAGTTGAGCTGAAACTTCTGGTGACTCGGCTGCTTTCAGTCACCGATTCTTACTTCCTGTTTGTGTTTCCCGTCTGTAGCCGATAAAGAACGCTCCTGTTGGGAAGAAATATGTCCGCTGTCCGTGTAACTGTCTGCTGATCTGCAAAGTCACGTCGCAGAAGATCGCCTGTCCGAGGCCGTACTGGTGAGACGAAATAAATCCATCGTCTTCTGACGTTCTCTTTTTGTCTCGGCAGACAAAACAATTCAACCTGAGACTCAAGTGTGTGTTTTGTTTTTCTGGCAGTAAACGTGTCATCAACCTGGGACCGGTCCACATCGGCAGTGACAGTCCAGAACCGCGGCACCAGCCCGTTGGCCTCAGGGTCATGTGTGGACACTGCACCAGTACATTCCTGGTAACACTCGCAGAAACACTCTGGTGGCTTCATCTATGACGTACCGAGCAGATTTGGGGTTTTATCCATTCACTCTATTCGTTTTTATTTTTTTATTTTCTTCCAGTGGACTGAGATTTCAGACCGGACCCTGGCTCGATGTCCACACTGCAGAAAAGTGTAAGAACCTCCGAGCTTCATGTCTGAGAGTCAAACAGATCTGTGCGTCAGTCACTTCGCCTCGTGATGCCGTCAGTTTAGTAGCTAAAACTTTTATTTTAAATAGTTTCTTCAGTACCTTCTGTTGAATGGAACTATTTCAGCACCTTTTCTGCTGTTATAACCGTTAATACCAAAACCTTCGGCTTGTTCAGGACTTCACAGCTGTGGTTTTTGAGTCTTTTAACTTGTAGTTTTTAAATATTCAAGTTTTTTTCCTCATGAATTAAAAAAAACTTTTGTGCTCTTTAAAATCTACTTTAGCGTTATTGATTGATTTTTAGCTGTCATTGACTAGTTAGCTTTAGCCGGCACAAACAGAGTAATGTTGTGTATGCTGTTCAGTGTCAGGAGGGTGATCAATCTTACATCGGGCAAACTAAACAGCCACTGGCCAAAAGGATGGACCAGCACAGAAGATCAACATCATCAGGCCAGGACTCTGCGGTCTACACTCATCTCCAGGCCAGCGGTCACTCTTTCAGGGATGAAGATGTTCACATCCTGGACAGAGAGGAACGATGGTTTGAGAGAGGAGTAAAGGAGGCCATCTTTGTGAAAAGATATCGTCCATCATTAAACAGGGGCGGAGCCTCCGTGTTCTCTTACAATGCTGTTATTGTCAGCATTGCTGTCAACGGGGCGGCTGTGGCTGAGTGGTTAGAGCAGTCGTCCTCCAATGGGAGAGTTGGGGGTTTGATTCCACCAGCAGTCACATATTGAAGTGTCCCTGGGCAAGACACTGAACCCCTCATCGCCTCTGATGTGTGTCCCATCAGTTGAATGTGATAAAGCTCTGATCTTCTGTGTAGAGATGCTGTATGAATGTGTGTGGAGGTAAATGAGGCACCGATTGTTGTAAAGAGCTTTGAGTATCTTGATTAGAGACAAAGGCGCTGTACAAGTACAGTCCATTTACCATTTATTGCATCTCTCAGCCCCCTGTGAATAGCAAGCGGCCACCGTGGTTGGGGTGCACCGATAAATCGTCCCCGATTTCCTTAATTTGGGGAAATCGGATGATACTTGCATGAGAAACCAATTTTACAGATTTTTGTAGTTTTAACAACAGTTGTCTAAACTTCATTTATATTTCAGAGCACTACCTCATGGCCAGTTAAAACAAGTTTTATTGTTTCTAGGATATTGTTCAAGGGTATGTTTTTCAATAAAATAAGATTGGAAAATTGAAGGTTCATTGTGATCTTATAACACCTGACAGTGTCGCTTATAAAACAAAATCGGAGTCGGCAGGTCAGACTTTTAAGAAATCGGTGATCGGCCATAAAACTGCAATCCGTGCACCCCTAATCATGGTACTAACAATTATTGTTAGGCTGATGGTCCTCCTTTATCATGTGAACAGCTAGTTTTGTCTGTCAGCAGCAAACTGGTTGGTTGATCCACTGAGAAGGTGCTGTTTATAAGACTGAGTTTGTTGCAGCTACTCGGACTGAAGAAGTCCTTTGGATAAAATACAAAACGTTTCAAGAAGAATCCATCCAGAGGACCTGACTCTAGCTTGATAAGATTTATCTGCCTGATTATTGTGCATGTATCGGGACACCGTTAGCTTATTTTAACACTTAGCTATTTTGTTGGTCTCAATTATTAGCTACAGTTTTTGTTGGTCTTAGCTTCAGTACTCGCACTGTATTTTAGCAGAAAACGTCATTTCTTTCATTGTGAATCTGAAACCGTTTTCTTGTTTTGTTCTCCAGTTCTTCGGTTGGTCATCGCTACCCGAGGAGGAGGAGCTGGTTGTGTTTCCTGCTGTTTAATGTGTTCTTAGCGTCGACCATCGGACTTTTGGTGTGTACCTCTGGAAAAAAATTGGAACAACCAAAGATGGTTTGAACAACTGTCAGCGACTTGTTGACAGATCAAATTAGTTCTTTGCTGCTCAAATGTTTCTGTTGCTACCAAAATCTGTTTTATGTTAATGAAATGAACATTGCTAGTTGTGTCCACAAGTTTTTTCTGACTAAAACAGACACTTCTTAGTAAAACGTTGAAAGCGTATTTAAAGTAAAGTATTCACTTGGGTTGGGAAATGTATTTAAATTTAGGAATATATAAACTCATTATAGTAATAAAATAAAAATAATCCGCTCTAAACAAATTTACCTGCTCCCAGTTTTGCTACTTTATAGACTGAGGCAACAAGTCCAGGTACTTGGTGTCTGTGCAGAGCTCCGCCCCTTTTTGGGTAAAACAGCCCGTCCACTTTGTCTGGTGGTAAATGCAGATTGTTTTGCCCCATACCAGCAGTGAGCAGGCCTTTAACTGGTGTCATGTGGTGCAGAACCTATGAGAGTTGAGACAGTGGCCAAATGCCATAAATGTATACCAAAGAACCAGAAGTGGGCTATCTAGAGCACAACACGTAGTGAATCATTGACTTTGATCATGTGGAACCGGAGGTGTTTAGTGTCTGTGCAAAACTCCGCCCCTTTTTGGGTAAAACAACCCGTCCACTTTGACTGATTGTAAATGCAGCTTGCTTTGACACTTTTCAGTACCTAAATATTGTAGTCTGACTGGTAAGCAATTCATATGTTTTATTTAAATAAGAATTTTATAATACTAATTTAAAACACAAGGTACATCAAACCATGAATGAAAGAAAGCACAGAGAACAATAATATCATATCAACTGATGAGGTAATCTGGGTGGGCATTCAGGGTCCTGCTCTACAGTGATTTAGATCGTATTTAACAGAGAGAAGCTTCCGTGTTCGTATTGGTGCTGTGGTGTCCTCTGTAGTGCCTCACATGTGGAGTACGTCAGGGATCTATACTTGGCCCCCTTCTGTTTTCCCTTTATTTACTCCCTCTGGGATGTATTCGCTGGAAACATGGTGTTACTTTTCATTTTTATGCTGATGACAGTCAAATTTATGTTTCATTAAAACAAGATAATCGGTACTCCAC